TATCAGACACACCTTAGTCTCCAGAGAGACACCGTTGCTCTTGAGTACTTTAGAGAGGTCCCTAACAGCAGACTTTCCCATCGCGATACGTTTTTTTGATTTCCTGGCTGCTGGTGCCAAGAGTGTTGACCGGGATTAGATTAGGCTTCATTAAACACGTGGTGCTTGAGCAGCTTCTACAGCAGGGGCGAGTCTGATAAGGGGGGACAGTGAGGACAGCTCTCTAGGAGGGGGCTCAGCCGAGCGAAGGCTTTATTACTGAGAGCCCTCCAGCACCCCCAGACCCCCTCGGCACAGGCTGCTCTCCGCAACGTCATCTCAGGAGCCTTCTACCCCATGTCCCCTCCACAGCCAACCAAATTCATGGTGGGCACAGAGCAAGGCGTGGTCATCTCCTGCAACCGCAAAGGCAAGACGGCCTCCGAGAAGATTGTGTGCACCTTCCCGGGTCACCACGGCCCCGTCTACTCCCTCCAGAGGAACCCCTTCTACCCCAAAAACTTCCTGACCGTCGGGGACTGGACGGCACGCATCTGGTCTGAAGACAGCCGGGAGTCGTCCATCATGTGGACCAGGTAAGTGGAGACCCGAGGGTGACCCCTGCCCACAAACGCAGCAGCTTGTGGTATGAGGTGTCTTGATACAGTCACTTTGAAAAGTAAGAGCCCTGGTTGGGGGGAGGTCCTGGGAGGAAGTGGAGCTTTGCCCCAGGATCTTTTAGGGGGGCCTGAAGTGATTTTGTTTCTGCAGGCAGCTGGTGGGCGCTGGTGTAAATGAAGCAGACCGTAGACTTTGTTTTTATGGGCTACTTTATTTTATTTCATTATTTTGTGTGTGTACCATCAAATCAGATCTGACTGGTACAGGAGGAGATTGTTCCTCCTCCAGCAGAGCATCTGGTGGATTCGAACCGTGTACCTCTGAGATTGCAGTGCAACTTCTTGCCACTAGGCCACCAGAGCTCGCCGACACGGGCTACTTTTAAGATGTTGATGCTATGTGTGTGCGTAATTAAAGGTGTTTTGCTGGCAAATGAGTGAAACTCAGAATCAACAGCATGGAGGTTTCTGTGAATTTGCTACAGGCTGTAGGGTTTCAGAATCAGTTCGGTATTCAACAGCTGTTGTTACCAGGCAGCGTGCATGGTGGTTTTACACTAGCTGAGACCTAAAAGGGAGAAAAGGTGGGTGTTGGATGAGGAAAGGTGGGTATTGGGCAAAGCTCCCTCAGCCGGGGCCTGTTTCAGGACGTGCCCCTAGGTGGAGCTGCTGAGCTATGTTCAGGGCTGAGCTCGCCATCCTCCCCCGCCACCTGCCAGGTTTTTCACCTGCATAGATTTAGCAGGTAGTGAGGTCCCTGTGATAGGAGTCAGCTCCACAGCTCCTAACAACTGCAGGTTAAAAATACAGGAATTTCATGCAAACAAGGAATTATTTTGTCGTGCAGGTCTTCCAAATGCAATATTTGGGACCCATCTACGCTAAAATATTACTGGTTTGTCTGAAAATACAATTGAATGGGTGTCCTTAATTTACCTACCACCCCTACGTTATCTTAGAGAAACCTAAAAACCACACAGCCTGTAACTCAGAAAACCCCTGGGAGATTCTGTTGGTCTTCCATTCAAACATTCACACACGTTCTGTTTTACAGCATCAACTACAATACCCACAATGTAACCTCACTCTTCCTCCTTCCTCCCTGTGACTCTCATCTCCGTTAGTCCTCTGTCTCACCCTTTCCTGTCTTCTGAGCATTACACTTGAGCACATGCTGCTCTCTTGGCCTTTCATGGCTAGAGAGTCCAGGAGTGAGCATCTCCCTGGCGATATTGCTCCCCTCATAGGCTTGTTTCTTGTTAGGCTGAAAGGTGAGTATTTGTCCCAGCTTCAAAAGGTGTCTAAGGCTCATAGTCTTCAGTGGTTTCCTCAGTCTCTATCAGACCAATTGTTGTTATGTACCATCAAGTCATAATAGCCCATAGCTGACCCTCCAGCGGGTTTCCAGAGACTCTTCATTGCACAGGGTGGGGGAGATTGCCCATCCTTCTCCCTCGGAGCAGCTGGTGGATTTGAACCGCTGGCCTTTGGGATCACACCACAGTTTCTTACCAGTAGGTAAGACCAGAGCTCCAGTAAGTTAATAAAATTTTCGGTGGCATTTTGGAAGTAGAGCTACAGTTCTTTATTCTGCGGCCCCGCTGGTTGGACTCGAACCACCAACCTCTGGGTTGAGGGTGTTAACTGTGACACCCGGAGACTCCCGCTGTGGAGAAGCACCAGCGGCTTCCCAGCCTGAGTGAAGACCATCCCAAAACAAAGCCATCATCGTCAAGTTGATTGCGATTTGTAGGGACCCTGAAGGACAGAGTGGATCTGCCGCATGGGGTCCCCAAGGTTTTAAAGCTCCTCAGAGCAGACGCTCCCCCACAGGGCAGCTGCTGAGCCTGAACTGCTCACCCGGGTTAGCACCGAACACTGTAACCGTGCACCACCAGGGCTCCCAAGACCATCCCACAGTCCTGTAAAATGCAGCGCTCAGGAGTGATGTGCAGCTGAGGTGTTGATGGCTACAGGTCACACACAAGGAAGCACTTCGCACTTCTCCAGGCTTCGAGACCCTGGAAAGCAGGGCTGTGCACAGGTGGCGTCTCCATCCCCACCCCCATCCTTAGCCCTGACCCGTGGCCCCTCTGTCCCCAGGTACCACATGGCTTACCTCACCGACGGCGCCTGGAGCCCGGTGCGGCCCTCCGTTTTCTTCACCACCAAGATGGATGGCACCCTGGACATCTGGGACTTCGGGTTTAAGCAGTGTGACCCAGCCCTCCGCCTGAAGGTCATGTCCATGCTTGTCTCTGACCCCATTCACCAGGCCCTCAGCTATATGGGGCCCCCTCCGAGGCAGGGACCCTGGGGAGGGTAACGTGAGCATGTCCGTCTGGGTGTGTCTTCAGAGGAGTTCAGTCTGAGGGTTTCTCTGGGAAGTCCCTGCTGGCCACCTACCTATGATTCAACCTTTGGGAACATGTGTTCCCAGGAAGGTGAGTGGGGTTCTGGGGGACCTTCAACCTGGTCACTCTGCAGAATGACCTGTGGGGACCTCAGAAGGCAGGTGGGGTGTTCCCAGGAAGGTGAGTGGGGTTCTGGGGGACCTTCAACCTGGTCACTCTGCAGAATGACCTGTGGGGACCTCAGAAGGCAGGTGGGGTGTTCCCAGGAAGGTGAGTGGGGTTCTGTGGGACCTTCAGCCTGGTTACTCTGCAGAATCACCTTTGGGGACTCAGTAAGCAGGAGTGATGGAGTGGAAAATTGGTGGGAGGTGAGGCAGGAGGATGGCCTGACCCCCCAGTCTCGGGATTTGACCTTCCTCCCGTGAATCTTGGGGAGCTCCAGAGGGGATCTGGGCAGGGCCTTGTGTCTGAGATTCCCTGGAAGGTCAGTGAGTTCATCAGGTAAATGTAACTTTCCTCCCCTGCCCCTCTAACAGGTGTGTGAAGAGGCCCTCTTCTGCCTCCGGGTGCAGGACAACGGCTGCTTCGTGGCCTGTGGGTCCCAGCTGGGGACGACCACGCTGCTCGAGGTCTCCCACGGGCTCTCCACCATGCAGAGGAATGAGAGGAACATCGCGTCTTCTGTACGTGCCGGCCGGTGCTGGGCGCGACCCCCGCCCCCCGGACCAGCCACAGGAAGCCTGCCCCTTGCCGCCCACCCCAGAGAAGCGAGTGGGCATTTCACACGCTGTCCTGGGGTGACCTCTGTGACGGGCTTAGTGCTTGACGCGCTCGGCCATTGAACCACCGGGTGGCCCTGGGCAGGTCACGTCCCTGGTTTCTGTTTTTCAGTTGTAACGGACAAATGGCCTGAGAGGATCAGTTGGTGTCATTTCAAACTACAGAAAGCTAGGCAGAGAGAGAGGTACACAGAGCTAGTGATAGTTCCCACCACGCGGATTCTGGTTCGTGGCAACTGACTTCACCTGAGTAGAACATCCCCATAGGGTTTGCGAGCTGTGACCTTTCAGAAACTGATTGCACATCCTGTCTTCAGAGGGACATCTGGGTGAGTTTGAACTGCCAACCTTTTAGCTAGCAGTCAAGCTCAGAAACACCTATCTGTGTGTATAGACCTTCCAAGCCCACTGTCAACAAGTCAGTTCCAAAAGAGAGTGGCCGTCCATCAGAGAGTGACCATTCATCGGGTTTCTGAGGCTGTTCATCTTGACGGGGGCGACCACTCATTTTCTCCTGAGGAGCGGCTGGCTGCATTTGAACTGTCGACCTTGCAGTTACCATTGCAACAAATGACCAACTGTGCCACCAGGAATATGTGTGTGTATATTATCATTGTTGTTGGTGGTGTTAGAGGCTGTCAAATCAAGCGCTGCTCATAGTGACCCCGTGAACAGCACATCGAACCTTGTCCTACTCTGTGCCATCCTCATCATCTCCGATTCATTGTGTCCGTCTGTCTTGTTGCAGACTTTCTTCTCTTGTGCTGACCTTCCACCTCTCCTAGCATGATGTCTTTCTCCAAAGATTGGCCTCTGCTAACAACATCCCCAAATCATGTGACACAAAGTCTCACCATTCTTGTCTCCATGGTGCAACCAAATTTCATTCTCTCCAAGACAAACCTGTGCGTTCTCTTGGCAGTCTGTGGGATATTCAGTGCTCTTCTCCAACATCATAACTTAAAAGGCATCAATTCTTTTGTCATCCTTGGTCATTGTCCAACTCTCAGAAGCATAGCAAGCAATTGAGGAGACCATGACTTGGATCAAGCACCTTAGTCTTTAAACTGACAACATTACTCATTAGTACTCTGGAGAGATAGATCCCTGTCAGCAGATTTTTCCAATGTGATTTTTTTTTTTAAATTTTTGGACTGCTAGTACCAAGGGTGTTGATTGTGGATCCAAGTAAGATGAAATTGTTGACAACTTCAGTCTTCTCTCTACCTATCATGATGTTGCCTGTTGGCCCCATGATGAGAATTTCTGTTTTCTTGGTGTTGAGATGTCATCCCTATTGAAGGCTCTAGTCCTTGATCTTCTGCAGCAAGCACTTTAAGTCCTCACTTTCAGAGAGCACCATTGTGTCATCTGCATGTCACAGGTTGTTAAAGAGTCTTCCTTCAATACTTAAGCCACATTCTTCTTCATAAAATCCACCTTCTTGAATGGTTTGTTCAGCATATGGATTTGAATAGGTATGGAGAAAAGAGACAGCCCTGATTCACACTCTTCTTGACTTTAAACCATGCTGTGTTCCCTTGCTCTGTTTGAATAACAGCCTCTTGGTCGAGGTCTAGGTTTTCATTAGCTCAGTAAGTGTTCTGTGATTCCCGTTCTTCTCAGTGTTAGCCGTAACTTGTTGTGATCCACACATATACCTTTTCATAGTCGATAAGACTATGATGACCTTCAGATAAGATAACCTGATATTCTCTGCTTTCAGCCAAGAACCACCTGACATCAGAAATTATATCCTTGATGCCACAGCCTCTTCTAAATCCATCTTGAATTTCTGGGAGTACTCTGTACCAACTGTTGACTGGAACACAAAAGTTGGGAACAAGGAATAAGGACTGGCAGTTGAAAATTATGGACTTGGTGGCAGAAATGAGGGTGGAGACCAAATGATTGAACTTTTTAGAACTCATGATTTATTCATTGTAAATTCCTTTTCTTAACAACACAAAAAGGGACTATACACATGGCCTTCACCTGAGAGACTACACAGGAGTCCGATTGACTCCACCTGTAGAAAGAATTGCTGGAGAAGTTTCACACCAGCAGTCAAAACCAGACCAGGTGCTGTCTGTGAAACAGACCATCAACTCTCATGTGCAAGTTCAAATGGAAGCTGAAAAAAAATAATGCAACAAATCCACAAGAATCAAAACATGACCTTGAGTATATCCCACCTGAATTTTAAAACCCTCTCTGTATGTGATACAGGGAACTCTGGTGGCCTAGTGGTGAGAAACTGTGCTGCAATCCTGAAGGCGCACGGTTCGAATCCACCAGATTCTACACGGGACAGAGAGAAAGATAGGTAATCTCCTCCCTGTGTGATTTACGGCCTCTGAGAGCCCGCTCTCACCTCTACCTAGGGAGGCAAGGATTCTGAGGCTCTGTCTAACATACTTTGGACATGTTGTGAGGAGAGACCGGTCCTTGGAGAGGGACGTCATGCTTGGGAGGGTGGAGGGACAGCGCAGGAGGGGAAG